GTATGATGACAGAACACCTGCACAGAAGCTAGAGCTTAGCAGGGACTCTTTTTAGACAAAATAAGAATTCATGGAGGAATACCATGTCAGCTCAGCACCATTTCATAAGTACATTTTACACTATTTTGTATGTAAGCAACCCAAAATTAAAGTTAAATTCTGCACACTATACAAGTCCCATCAATGTAAACAAGCAGCTCTAACGGATCTGATATTGAAGAAAATATTTAAAGCACATTTAACTACAATTTAGCTCATTCATATTTTGTGTGATATGTTGTGCTGAATGCCAACTTAGAGTTGGTCTTAAAGTGGTTCTAAAGGCCGAGCTTTTTTTACCTTCAGTATGCAGCTCACCCTGCAGCTCTCCTAATACCTGAGTCCAATCGCAATTCAGCACTGTGCACGGGAGCCTTGGCTCTCCCAGGTCTCTCTTTCCTCATTGACTGAGACACAGCAGTGGGAGGCATTGGCTCCTGGTGCTGTCATTCCCAGCCAGTGAGGATGGAGTAGGGGGGTGGGGCTGAGCCCCAGTCTGTGTGTCTTATGGACACACAGAGCAGGGTTCGGGAACGAGCAGGGTACATTTCAATAGCTCAAGTAAATATTAACAGAAAGCCCCTGACCTGAAGATTTTAAAAAATTCTTCTATGAGAAATGTGAAGTGCATATGCTACCTGCAGGATTATGAGAAGAATTAAAAGATGAGGATAGGGACTATAATCAATCCCTCTGTAAAGACTATCCCTTGTGTGCCAAAAACATAAGAAGTAACAGTCATTTAGGCATCTAGTAATACAAGTCTGAACCTAATAAGAAAGTCTAAACAAAGAAAGAAAAAGGTAAAGGAGGGGAGAAGGGAGAGGTAAAGGGGGTAGTGGGGAAGATGCTTAACCAAAATCTTCACTCTCCACCCACCTGCCAACATACAATAATTCCACATATACCCATGGCATGTGTGAGATATATCTTATTGAATTGACAATCTTGTGTAAAAAAAAAAAAAACCTTTGTCATTTTTTTTTAAATTTGTGAAAAACAAAAAAAAAAAATCTTCCATATGCTCAACATGTCTCTCAACAAATTGCTTGGAGTAAAAAACATAAAACAGAGCCCACGCTTGGCACATTACCTTTGGACACTTTATTGAAGGATATATATTACAAAGGTTATCCTCACAAACCAAGTGAGCTTGAATGCATGTAATGTGTGAAGAACACAGTGAGGACCACTCTCCACATCCAATTAGAGACACAACAGCAGAACCAGCTGATGCGTTTTTGGGGATCTGATGGGAGCTTACCCATCCATTCCTCCATGGCTATTTGTACAAGGCTCAACCTAGTGCTCAGTGTTCAGTGGCCTTTTGAGAACGGCAACCTTTGTAACTTACGTATATTACACCATTATAGCTGCCATCAACTTGACTATCAACACTATTGTTTTTCTTGAACCTTCTCTATATATGGGCATATGTATCTACAGTGGGAAGTTCATTTTTATGTGTGATTATGCTTTTAAATGTTATGTTTTATGCTTTATATATACATAGCGTACAGTTAGGAGGTGGTGTCTCCTTGACAGAACTTCCTCTCCCTGTTCCCCACCCCCTAGTGGTAGGTGGGTTGAACAATCAGAATATGTCATATATTTAAAGGGTTGGAACTGTAGGAGACAATAGCCTATGTATTTAAAGGGTCAGAGCTGTGGGAGATGCTAGCCTAGCTCTGAAGAAGGGGAACAGTTCCACGAAATGTGTCAGTGGTTCTGCCATTGTATCTCTAATTGGCTGTGAAGAGCACACATTACATGCTTTCAAGCTCACTATATCCTTCAAAAAAGTATCCAAAGATAATGTATTAGGCGTGTGTGCCCTCTCTGTTTTATCTTTTTCCGTAGAGCTGGAACCCCTTGGTCTGAGGAGGGCTACACTGCCGATTTTATTTTTTCTATTTCCGGTTGTTAAGGGATCGTATGACCATTAACCTATGCTATGAATGCCTCTATCTATTTCGGAGCGCAAAAGTGTCAAGTCTGCTTTTTTTCCTTTTTCTTCAAAATTCTTCTTCCAAAAAGGGTAATTTTGGGGGGGGGGGGGGGGGGGTTACTGTTCTGGCATTTTAGCACCTCAAGAAATGTGATGGGCAATCCGAAAGTAAAAGCTACGTAAAATCCAATATATGTACCATAGCTTGTAGGCGCTGTAACTTTCACACAAACAATCAATATACACTTATTGAGGTTTTTTTTTTTTTACCAAAGACATGTGACAGAATACATTTGAGTTTATTGGAAATGTTTTATAATTTAAAGTAGAAAATATTGCATTTTTTCAAAATTTTCAGTTTTTTTTTTTTTTGTTCATATCGCAAAAAAAATAAAAAAAAACCCAGTGGTGATCAAATACCACCAAAATAAAGCTCTGCTTGTGTGAAAAAAATATATAGACTTTGTTTGGGTACAGTATTGCATGACTGCGCAATTACCAGTTAAAGTGGCGCAGTGCTGAACAGAAAACAATGGCCTGGTCATGAAGAGGTAAAACCTTTTGGAGCTGAAGTGGTTAAACTACATTTGCATTGTGATTGTTTATATTCTGTTATTTACTGTATATATTTGTTAATAAAAAAGCTGCTGTGTCAAATCTGTGTGGGTTATTATGTTAATAGGGGGTATTATAGACAGTCAGGTTGGTCAGGTAAAACTACGGGGCAAAGTTACTGTGGATGAGGAAAAAAAAACTAGGAGTAAAAAACTGCAGTAAATTGTTGAATTATCAACCTGAAGAAATGAAAGAATTTGGTAATTCTGTAAAATAGTGTTTTGTATACATTATACTTAACCTAATATTCTCAAGGTATCTTTAAATTCATATTTTTTTCATGTTAGACTAAATTAATCACAAAAAATTGCTAATTTTTTTGTGATTACATTTTATTTGGTGTGAGACTGAGAGGTTTTAAAGTGAATCTGTCATAATAGAAGTATGAAGACTGCCATTCATGGTCTCCTGGCTGGCCAGACTGTGTCCGTCTTAAATCCTAAGTGCAAGTAAGAAAAAAGAAAAAGCACAAAAATCAGCACAAGGGACATAATTTACAATCAGCGGGATGTGCTGATACCTCTTCTTTTAGATAAAATCCTTCTCTGTCCATGCCCTCTGTCACAGGCTCTCATCAATAAAAAAAAATTAGCATTCCCAAAGGTAAAGTGATCAGTGACAGTCACCTTGATCCTCAGAGAATATTGTATTATTTGCTCAAACAGCAGGATTAGTGTCACAAAAATGTAAAATAACTCATAGCAGTAAATAAAATATAATTTTATGCTGGTCTCAAGGGGTCACACTAATGAGCGCTGGTCTATGATTCATTGCTATGGCTTACAGTATATTGCTCTTTTTTTTTCCAGACCAATTTAAACAGCAATTTAAAATGAACAGTATAGTTTTAGTTTGAATGGCAATCAAAAATAATGATGACTTTATCCCAATCATTCTTTTTATGACACTCAGATTAGCCAGTCTAAAAAAATTTACAAAAACTATTTCCTAAAACAGTTAAACGACACGTGAAAACCTTAAAGTACTGAACATTTTTTCTGCTACAACAACATTGCTCTAAAATTCTGGCAGTAAAAAATACTAGAATAACCCAAACATTGTTATCTTTTTCATCACAGACAAATGGCAGCCTTGACTGTGATAAGTTAGTATATTTACTGTCATTTATTGCCCAGGAAACACTGAAACCTTTGCAAAGAAACAGACTGTCACTTGGGCATAAGATGATAATCCAGTCCTTCAAAAATACTAATCATGGTTTAACCCTTAATAATTGTTCTTGGATATAACCTTTTATGTGATGTTCTAAATCATGATTGTATGTCCTAAGTTATGGTAAAAAGTTAGGCTATAGATAGTTATAGCTAAATTGTTTTTGCTTATCAGACCCAGCCTCAGGCTCTGTCACATAAATCGTCCTGCCTCTTGCACCTTTTAAGATTATGGTTTAGCTTTCCCATTGCAAATGTTTTATATGCTATATAACTATCACAAATCAAGGACTTTACAGTATATTGCAATGGTATTACATGAATCTACTTCTTTGGACGGTTAGTGTGATATAGTGCTTGTTTTCAGTTCTCACATTAATTATAGGGAAAAGATGCAAATAAGGTTTTGTAGTTTAAAAAATGGTTCTTTTTTGTTCAACATGAAGCCTTCCTTTCATCTCATGGGAAATGATATGTGAGAATTTCTAGGCTACAGTTTGATCCTAGAAAAATTTCAAACACCTTAATAACTTACCTAGGCTTATGATAGTCTTCTTCAGCTGCCAGTAAAGCAAAACAAAAAATAGCTGCTTAAAGAGATATTCTGGAAATCAAGAAATACTTTTAAACATCTGTGAAATCCTATATATATATATATATATATATATATATATATACCGTATTTTTCACTCCATAAGACGCAAAAAATAGGGGGAAATGTCTGTGAGTCTTATGAAGCGAATATTGACCAGGCCTCCCCCCCCCACCGCCACCGTCATGTTAGAATACCGAACCAGCCAGCAGGGAGGGGGCGAGGCCAGGTCTGGAAGCTCCATTGACCCCACCCCATGCAGCCTGTATGCTCGAGAGGAAGCTGCTGTAGTAGTTGTGATGTGAATGGGAGCCTCCTGTACTGTGTCTGCAGTCTCTGGTCATCTCCTGTACTATGTCTGTAGTCTCTGGTCATCCCCTGTACTATGTCTTTATTCTTAGTTCAGAATATTATTTTTCTGGTTTTCCTCCTCTAAAACCTAGGCGTGTCTTATGGAGCAAAAAATACGGTGTGTGTGTGTGTGTGTGTATATATATATATATATATACATACATACATACACACACACACATATGCACTATATTGCGAAAAGTATTGGGACACCCCTTCAAATTTGATTTAGGTGTTCCAATTACCTCTATGGCCACAGGTGTATAAAATCAAGCACCTAGGCATGCAAACTGCTTCTAAAAACATTTGTGAAAAAATGGATTGCTCTCAGGGGCTTGGTGAATTCAAGCGTGGTACTGTGATAGGTTGCCACCTGTGCAATAAGTCCAACCGTGAAATTTTCTTGCTACTAAATATTCCACGGTCAACTGTTACTGGCATTATAACAAAATAGAAGCAACTGGGAACAACAGCAACTCAGCCACAAAGTGGTAGGCCACGTAAAATAACAGAGCGAGGTCAGCGCATTGCTGAAGCACACAGTGTGCAGAAGTCGCCAACTGTCTGCAGAGTCAGCAGCTAAAGACATCCAAACTTCATGTGGCCTTCAGATTAGCACAACAGTCTGTAGAGAGCTTCATGGAATGGGTTTCCATGGCTGAGCAGCTGCATCCAAGCCTTACATCACCAAGTGCAATGCAAAGCGTCAGATGCAGTGGTGTAAAGCACGCCACCACTGGATTCTACAGCAATGGAGATGTGTTCTCTGGAGTGACAAATCATTCTTCTCTGTCTGGCAATCTGATGGACATGTCTGGGTTTGGCGGTTGCCTGGAGAATGGTACTTGCTTGACTGCATTGTGCCAAGTGTAAAGTTTGGTGGAGGGGGGATTATGGTGTGGGTTTTTTTTTTTCAGGGGTTGGGCATGGCCCCTTAGTTCCAGTGAAGGGAACTCTTAAGGCGTCAGCATACCAAGACATTTTGGACAATTTCATGCTCCCAACTTTGTCGGAACAGTTTGGGGATGGCCCCTTCCTATTCCAACATGACTGCACACCAGTGCAAAAAGCAAGGTCCATAAAGACATGGATGAGAGAGTTTGGGGTGAGGGAACTTGACTGGCCTGAACCGAGCCTTTACCTCATCCTGATAGAACACCTTTAGGATGAATTAGAGCAGAGAGTGTAAGCCAGGCCTTCTCGTTCGAAATCAGTGCATGAAATTACAAATGTGCTTCTGGAAGAATGGTCAAACATTCCCATAGACACACTCCTAAACCTTGTGGACTATATATATAGTTTGTTTGTGAACGGCCAGCACACTGATTACACAGGTGTGTATAGGCCTTTTTGTAGAGGCCTAACCATGGGTTTGGGCTTCACCCCGGAAGACAGGAAGTCTTTGCCCAGGAGTCAGGAGAGCTCCACCTAGGAGAGGTGGGAGCCAGAGCAGCAAGGGGCTGCTAGCTGTGTGCCTGAAAGAGCCATTTAGAAAAGAGTCTGCAGGAGACAGACGTGAGCCTGAAGTGGAAGTCCACAGCAGTAGGATTGTATGTATAAGCCAGGAGGCTAAAAGTCTGTGTTTGGAAGAGTAAAATGCTGAAAACCCCTGTGAGGGAAATCTATGGTGTTGGATTTATGGAACTTTCTTTTAAATAAAATTGGGCAAAAACGGCCCTTAAAAACAAGAAAGCAAATGGCGGTGTACTTTAAAGCTCTATCCTTGACGCTAGTTCTCAAATATATACAGTTGTGTTCAAAATAATAGCAGTCAGACATCACTAACCTGATCAATCACTGTTTTTGGTAGAAATGATATTTTTACATAGCAAATAATTTACTAGCAGGTGTAGTAGAGTAATAGAAATCCAACAGACACAACAGTCACGACATGCATGCTGCTGATTCTGTGTAATTGAATCACTAATTGAAAGGGGCATGTTCAAAATAACAGCAGTGTGGAGTTCTATTAGTTACGTCATTCATTCTTTGAAAAACAGGTTATTATTATTATACAGTATTTATATAGTGCCAAAAGGTTTGCTTAGCGCTGTACATTATAGTGGGGGACAGTACATGAGACAGTACAGTAACTAAACAATACACGAGGGGTTCGAGGGCACTGCTCTTTTGAGCTTACAATCTAGGAGGGAGGGGATAATGGCACAGGAGGAAGTGGCTGTGGGGGATGGAGTGGTAGAAGGAGTGGAGGAGTGGAGGAGATCGGCAGTTAAGTGAGGGTGGGGTAGGCTTCCCTGAAGAGATGGGTTTTCAGGGTATGCCTAAAGGTGAGGAGGGTAGGTGACGGTCTGATGGATTGGGGTAGTGAGTTCCAGAGGATGGGGGAAGTCCTGGAGAAGTCCTGCAGTCGGGCGTGGGGGGTGGAGACCAGGGAGCTAGAAAGTAGGAGGTCTTGTGAGGAGCGAAGATTACGGGTTGGGTGGTATTTGGGTATCGGGTCGGTGAGGTAGTTTGGGGCAGCGTTATGAATGGCTTTGTATGTCAGTGTTAGTAGTTTGAATTTGATACATTGGGTAATCGGGAGCCAGTGGAGGGAATGACAGAGGGGGTGGCAGAAGAGGAGCGGTTGGTAAGGTGGGTGAGTCTGGCCGCTGAGTTCAGGATTGACTGAAGCGGGGATAGTCTGTGATGAGTAGACCGGTGAGGAGGGAGTTGCAGTAGTCCAGGCGTGAGATAATGAGGGAGTGAACGAGTTGTTTAGTAGTGTCTGGGGTTAGGAACGTACGTATTTTGGAGATGTTACGGAGGTGGAGCCTGCATGAGCTTGCTAGCGATTAGACGTGGGGTTGGAAGGACAGGTTTGAATCTAGACTGACACCTAGGACTTTGGTTTGCGGGGTGGGACTGATGGTGGCGTTGTTGTTCATGATGGAGAGGGTGGGGGCGCGGGCTGGGTGGAAAATTAGGAGCTCGTTTTTTGAAAGGTTCAGTTTGAGGGTGGCAATTATTGCCCTTATTTAAGGAAGGAATGCAGCAAATGTTGTATATGCTGGTTACAGTGCATTTCTCTCTGAAATTCTGAGGAAAATGGGTCGTTCCAGACATTGTTCAGAAGTACAGTGTACCTTTATTAAAAAAGTTGATTGGAGAGGGGGGAAAAACATATAAAGAAGTGCAGAAAATGATAGGCTGCTCAGCTAAAATTATCGCAAATGCTTTAAAATGGCAACCAAAACCTGAAAGACGTAGAAGAAAGCAAAAAACTACCATTCGAATGGATAGAAGAATAGCCAAAATGGCAAGGACTCAGCCAACAATCAGCTCCAGGAAGATCAAAGAAGGTCTAAAGTTACCTGTGAGTACTGTTACAATTAGAAGACGCCTCTATGAAGCCAAGCTATCTGCAAGAAGCCCCCGCAAAGTCCCACTGTTGAAAAAAAGACATGTGCTGAAGAGGTTACAATTTGCCAAAGAGCACATTGACTAGCCTAAAGAGAAATGGGGCATCATTTTGTGGACTGATGAAAGTAAGATTGTTCTTTTTGGGTCTAGTGGCTGGAGACAGTTTGTCAGGCGACCCCCAAACACTGAATTCAAGCCACAGTACACTATGAAGACAGTGAAGCATGGTTGCGCAAGCATCATGATATGGGGATGTTTCTCATACTACGGTGTTGGGCCTATTTATCGCATACCAGGGATCATGGATCAGTTTGAATACATCAGAATACTTGAAGAGGTCATGCTGCCTTATGCTGAACAGGAAATGCCCTTGAAATAAGTGTTCCAACAGGACAACGACCCCAAACACACCAGTAAACGTGCAACATCTTGGTTCCAGACCAACAAGATTGACGTTATGGAGTGGCCAGCCCAATCCCCGGATCTTAATCCAAAAGAAAACTTGTGGGATGGCATCAAAAATGCAGTTTCTGAGGCAAAACCAAGAAATAGAGAAGAACTGTGGAATGTAGTCCAATCATCCTGGGCTGGAATACCTGTTCACAGGTGCCAGAAGTTGGTTGACTCCATGCAACACAGATGTACAGCAGTTCTCAGAAACAGTGCTTATACAACTAAATATTAATTAAGTGATTCAAAGGAAAGCAAAATCTTCAAACATTTTTCGGTTTATATAGTGAATGTTTGAGTTTGTAAAAAAGAATACAAACACTGCTATTTTTTTTGAACAGTCTAATATTCTTCATTTTTTTTAGAGGAACAACACAAATTTGATATATTTTTCTTCATGTTTTGATTTGGAATAGAATGTGTAGTGTTCCCAATGCATTTGTGTGTATGGAAATAAAAGCTATTAGAAGGATTTTGAGCTTTATTCACTTTTTTCAACACACTGCTATTATTTTGAACACAATTGTGTTTTTATTTATATATATATATATATATATATATATATATATATATATAATTAATGCTGGGCATCAAACACACTGCTTAATGCCTTAAAACCTTTCGTGTCAGCCTATGTGTCCATGCACACATAGCCATTTACAGGCATTTGGAGGCAGAAAAAAAAACAGGGGCAGCGAGCTCAGGAGAGGAATGTTCTGCTGCTAAAAAGCCTGGTGTGCCCAAACTAGTCACTAGACTTTAATTAACATACTATTTGCTCCACAATAATTCTTGAGTCCAAAGGTTAACTGTGCACAGGGAAGGGGAGAGGGAGTCTCTGTGGTTATCCCTTTCTGTCCTGGATGAAACTGGCTTTATAAAAGTTGTGTGCACCACATAGGACAAAAGTAGCTATGCTTGACCGGAAAGTAGGGAACATGTCTAGTCATTGGGTCTTGGAAATGTTCCTGCTGCAATGCCCTTTACTGGGCACACATTGGGAAATTGAGGGGGAGAATATTAACTGCTTCCCATCCAGCCACTGTACATAAACGTCTGGGCGGGAAAGCGTTGATCTGGGAAGACATACCTGTATGTCCTCTCAAAATTGCTTCTTGTGCATGACCCTGGGGGCAAGCAGCAGCGCAATCCTGTGGAAGCTGTGTCTGATGCAGTATCGATCCGTGTACCAAGCGGTGATCACATATCCAGTAGTAAACATGGCATCACAGTAGTTTTTTGTTTTTTTTTTCATACTGTCACTAGATCACTATGGTGACATTGTACCACTGTGGCAGTGATCATATATAATGGCTTGCTACTATGACTGTATAATAGTGTTGGCCTGGATGTTCGAGTCGAACATAAGTTTGGCTCAAACATTGGGTGTTTGTGTGTTTAGTGAACACATGAACTTACCGGCGAGAGAACACAGTGTATTGAGAGCCTTGATTGGCCAAAGCAATGCATCTGACCACAGGTCAGGTGCAATGCTTTGGCCAATCACAGCACAATGCACTGTGAGAGCCACGATTGGCCAAAGTCTCAGCCAAAGTCGATGCCCCACACTATATAAGCCTGCTTTCACAGCATCCTTGTGTAGTGTGTTGGTGTTAGTGAAGTTAGTTAATGGTGTGTTAGGAGACAGTGTACTGTAGTTAGTGGCAGTGTAGTGGTGTCAGTGAAGTGTCAATGTTTTTCACAGCTCTCCTGCATCACCGCTGTTCCCATTTTTTTTTTTTTTGCAGAATCTGTTGCTGCACTGTTCTCCCTTCTGTGTCGCAGGTGTTCTCCTTCTCCACCAGTGGTTTCTTTTTTTGCTTCTTTTAAATGAAATAAAATGTTTTTG